AAGTACAAATATTAAATACATAATTATTTAGTAAATACTTTTTGTAAAGATGTAAGGACAGATTCTCTGCTCTTTGAATACTTCTCAGGGTCCTCAAAAAGATTAGATATGTGTATCAGGCAAGCAGATGAATAACCATAAGCTAATTGTCAAATGATTGCCATGAGTTCCATATAATTGTTAATCATTATTAAATTAGAAGATATTAAAAATATTTATATTCCATGAAAACATTTTAATAGGCACAACAAAAGAAATATACTATGATTATAATGATATAGAACTCCTTACATAAAATGTAAATATTGGGCATATTAAGTTTTATTGGGTTGTCATTCTCTTAAAACTTGTGCTTTAATTTTTTAAGTTAAAAACATACAAACCAGAAGGTCAAAAATGCCAATGTGGTACTTGTTTGAAAACTGAACTGAAATAATGTAAAAAATATTCGTATGAAAAAAACTTTACCCATAACTCCAGCTTAAGAAGTACATTAAGGAATCGCTTACCTTTATCTGATACTTTTAATTTACCCCAGTGCGACTGCAGAATAAAAGTATGTTTGTATTAGTGATATCATAACAATTGTAATGTTTAGCTCATAGTTGTTATTCATAAGAATAATATTACTGGCAAATTTGACATTTAAGTATTGGACATGCCCAAGTGTCTTCTCGTTTTGCATTTTTCTGAAACAGGGCACAAAGTGTCATAATGCAGGCATAATTCAAGATGAAGTACAAAGTATATTTGGACTAGATTTTTAATTAATAGCCATATTCGTGTGATACTGGTTATGATGGACATAATGATACATATCCCAATGTATATAGGTTTTTATTTTCAATATTTGAATAAAATTAATAGCAATATTCATGTGATACTGGTTATGATGGACATAATGATACATATTCCTTTATATAGGTTTTTATTTTCAATATTTGAATAAAATTAATAGCAATATTCGTGTGATACTTGTTATGATGGACATAATGATACATATTCCAATGTATATAGGTTTTTATTTTCAATATTTGAATAAAATTAATAGCAATATTCGTGTGATACTGGTTATGATGGACATAATGACACATATTCCAATATATATAGGTTTTTAAGAGGCACTGTTACTCCTATCATCAGTTGTTACCCACTTGATATTTAGGATATGCTCTTTAATGATATTTATTATAAACCAATAAAAACAGTTGTTTTGACCCAGCTGGTCATTTTGAGGAATGAAAAATTAACTAATGTACTACTTGTAAAATTGAAATAATTTAAATTTATAATTTTTAAAAAGTCTCTACATAATTTAGTAAAATTACTTTCTGTGGACACCTGATGCCACACAGACTGTTAAGTCAAGTTCATTATATGGCAAGTTATTTGAATCTAGTTAAATCATTAGTTCACTGTCCATAACCTTTAGTATTGCTTTTAATGTTAGTGAAAGTTTATGTACCAGCCTTTAGACGGTGGATCAAGCCATACCTAGAGTCAGTTTAACTCAAGTAAAAGCAGTAACTGTAAGAAATCCATGCCTTAGAAGGTGAAGGTGTAATTCTTTTCCTCTGACATAACAGTAATAATTTGGAACTCTACGGTAGGAGCAGAGACTGATTTTTAACTGGAATAACCTACATGTCTGTGCTGCAATAGAATGTAAACTCCGGAGACATCAGAACTAAATCCAAATAGTCATTGTACTTTCCTTACAGTGCTAAGCACAAATGGATGTGAAAACCTTGCTTGGCAAATGGTTACTGAATTAGAAAAGTACTAGAGAGAATATTTTTATTGAATTTCATGCACACACATATATAAACATGACATGTATATGACATATGTACATGTTTTTCTTTCACTGCACGTAACACAAGAACGAAAATTCGATTATCATAGCAGAATCGACTATAATACATTTTATGTAACTTCAAGTTGCCTTTTTTTCTGTAAGTTTTTAAAGATTTGATGTGCTAACAATAAAGTAAAATTCGCTGCTTCTCATGTTCTTTTTCAGAAAAATATTATCTACTTATTACCACAGCAAAATTTCTGAAGTAAACAATGTGTGTGTTTTCCCCTAATTACATACTTTCTAAAAGCAAAGAGCTTCACATTAACTGTATTTGACTTCAAGGATTTTTTTTTTAACGTTAGCTGTTTGCATGGTGAGTCACACAGAACACAGTCTTCTGACTTACATTTTAAAGTTGATGGCATGAAAATAATAGTATCATTGCCTACAGCCTGTCTTTACATTTTATATTAACAAAGAAGATTCAGGCAATTTGTTCTTTTCAAAGTACCCACCTAATCTTTTAAGACCTGATATTTTGGCATATTTGAGGATCAACCTTCTTTTTATTTATGTTTCTTCTACCTTGACCTGAGAGAATGCAAATTGGTGCTGTGAATGGATTAATTTACTCCTCTACCAGAATAATATACTTAAGACTGTCTCAAGCCTTGAAACATGCTGAGTATTAAACATTATAATCCTTTTTTTCTCAAAGGAAGTAACTGCAGGTTAAGACTCTCCTCTTTTAATCATTGTTATAAGCAAATAACATTTGTGAAGACTATTATTTCTACTATAAATAAAAGCAGACTAGTTTTTAATGTCATATTCTTTATTTAATAAAAAATTTAATCATATCTTACCTGAATTCAGACCACATATATCATGAAGAACAATAGTCTGAGAGAATACAAAAGAATTCTGAACAATGTAGATCTGAAAAATGAGACATGAATGCTTTTCTGAGTATGGGTATGATTCAAACAGACAAGTGCAGATAAATCTACATGAATATTGCATCTGGTTCATTGAGTTGCTTATAATTTTGAAACTGTCACATGTCAGCAAATATATCAACACTGCTAGAAAACCAAAAAGGAAGTACATTTCTAAGTGCAATTGCTTCTAGCTTACATAGATAACCATGACTATAGTTTAAATAAAATGTTAGCTTTAGAAAAGAAATTGATACTCATACAAAGTTGTTTACTCTGAACTCTTTCCTGAGTGAAGAGAATTAAGCACATAAAAAGAACCAAACAAATATTTTAGAAGACATGCATATACACATTTGTGCATCTGTGTGCATATATATATAACACATAAATGATCAAACAGTCATGCTAATTCTTTTTACAATCATGTTTTAACATTAATAATCATGTCAAACTCATGGAATCTTGCTATTGTCAAAGGCCATGATAATCATATTTCAACTCAATTTTTAGAGGAGTTTTTACTTAAGATGTCATTATCTTCTAGACATGCAATAGACAGCATCCAAACATATGTAAACATGTGAGATAGGTATTAATATTGAGAAAAGTCTCGTAATTTTTTTTTTTCTTAAAAGCCAAGACCAGAATATATCAATTATCTGACCAGGCATATATATTATATCAAACTTGACTTTGGCTCATTTAAACATACAAAAATTATGAAATGTAGCTGAACTGTGAGTATAGTGGAGGGGGGGACTAGAAATTCAGGTTAATCAAGTCAATGACTGTTACTGTGAAGTAACAGTTTGTTTCAGGCACTGTGTCATGACTTCCAGCTAAGTGGGAGCGCCAGAAATAAACCTAACTTTCCCTCTCTATTTCTTTCTCCTTTTTTCCCCCCTGCCTTTTCCCCTTCCTTCCACTAAAATTATTGCCTTGTAGTCGAATTTTAAGTGAAGCTTCTTGGTATTTTATAAGAAATTCTCTAAAATGTAACACTCAAGCAAGACATCAGAATTCGATTTTAAACTTTGATTTTTAAAATATTTGATGTTGGGAATTATATTGAAATCACTTCCTTTTGGTCATGCTCCATTAAAGTTTTTCCCCTTGCAAGTCTAATTTCAAAAGTAAAAGTATGGAAATAGATTCACATGGTTTATATTTTAAGATATTATACATTCCTTCAATTTATAAGGAGTGTCTTCTTGAACGATTTTTCTTTTAGTGAATCGTTAACGATGTTTATAGATTTACTGTAAGCCAAAATTTTAAAATGAAAATTTAATTATAAAAAGATCATGGAAATATATTTGACAGTATATAAAAAGAATGAGATTTTGAATAGAATTATCAGTATAGTGAATGAAACAATTCTAAGAACATTATTTAGACGCAATGATTTATATCATAACCGTCATAATGTAGTGTTTTTATTTTACAACTTTTTATAAACGCTAAAGTGGGTTTGCAAATGCCCATGTGGCAAAATGAGAATGAAAATCAGATTTTACTCTTTGAAGAGCCGATACATGAACTCCACACATGGTTTCTTGACAGCAATGATTTGCATACGTGTAAGTTGGCGTGGACACCTCCGAGCGAAGAACTGCTAATGAGGATGAGAGTACAGTCACCAATGGGAGCCCTTCCTCACACTCTGGAAGTCACTCGCATGTCACGTTTCTCTCCAGAGGCAGGATTTTAGATGCGGGGCATCTCCCGCTGTCGTCTCTTTCCTCCCAATTCACTGTAAGGCATTCGGTGACGCGCCTTCAGCCGTGGCGTGTGGCGTGTGGCGTGGAGGGTTCGCGGCGCAGAAACGCGGGGAATGGAAGCGTTGTTTGCCTCCGGGAACTCTAAGCATCAAACGCAGACCCTCCGCTCCCTCGGCGGCCGCTCTCCCGACTCCTGTCACTGAGCCACGTCCCCCCGTGCCTTCTGCCCACTGGGGAAACAGCGTGTATCCTCGACAACACCGCTACTTTCCCTCCTCTGTCCACTTCCTCCATTGCCATCAGTGTCTTTTCACAACATTCCGACGGGGTTTGAAGTGGGGGTTTCAACCTCACTCGACTGCGATAGCCGAAGTCCCTTCAGGAAAGAAAAATGGTGTTGGAAATAACGGTCCCGAATACAGTATCACTGAGGCCCCCACCCGGGCGCTACGGTTTCCTTGGCGCGCCCGTAACGCACGCGTGGAGCTCAGCCCGGCTGCGTCCCCTCCTCCCGCGCGGGTCCTCGCCCGAGGAGCCGCCTCCACCTGCAGGCGGTGCAGGATTTTCCTTGTCCACTGACCCCCTCTAGCGCCGAACTGGCGGCATCGGAGGCGCGGCTGCCAGGCCGGGAGAAGGCTGGGCTTGGCCGGCTCTGCCGCGCGCCCGGCTCCGTCCCTGCCCTGGGCGCCCGCCTCGGCGCGGGGTCCCTCCCCGTCTGCACGCAGTGTGGCCCCGAGCCTGGGGCGGGGGCCGCGGGGTCCCCGCTCGTGCCCTGCGCCGCCGCTTCCGGGAGACCCGCGCGCGGGGGGGAGTGGGTGCCGCGAGGGGACGGCTCGTGCGGGGGGAGCCCTCAGAACACGGCGCCCTGCGCTGCCGTGGATGTGGCCACGCGCCACCGGGACTGCTAGGAGAGCGCGGCTCGACGCCACCACGCCGTGGACGCTCGGGGACCCCCGAATCCCAGCGTCAGGGCTGCGACGATGCTCGTGACCTCCACCGCGAAGTCACCTCCGCACGGCGACGCGAAGACCTCGCGAGCCCGGGCGCCGGGCGGCCGCGGCTTTCCCGCCTGATGTGACCCCTCAGCGCTTCCTCCCCGCGCTCCGCTTCGCTAGGACTGGAAGCCGCGGAGGCGCTCGCCCCGGTGGGCAAGTTTGGGCGGCCCGCGCGGAGGACGGTCGGGAGCCCCCTCAGCGGGGAGACGTGGAGGAGTCGGGGAGGCGGCGCTGGGAGCTGACTCGACCTCCACGGCCCGCGCCGCTGCTGTGAAGCGGGCGGCCAAGTGCCTGTGGGGCTGAGGGCGGCCTCAGAGACGCCCGGAAAGCGGCGGCCACGGCCGACTCGGAGGAGCCTGCGGTGCGCCGCTGCCCTGGCCGCTCAGGCCCGGAGCCCAGGGCTCAGTTTGCGCCCCGCCCGAACCCCTGGTGGCCCGCTCGAGCCGCCGTCCGCCCGGCTCTCCTCGCACGGGCCGGAGGAAAGTTCCCGCGGCCCCCACGCCCCCCGCCTTCGGCCCCGCACGTGCCGCCCCGTGCGCCCGCCCCACCTGGCAGTGCCGCCCCGCCCCCGCCCCCGTCCCCGCGGCGAGGCGCTCCCCGCCCCCTCGCTCCCCTCCCCCAAACCACAGCCCGAGCTCGCTCCTGCGCGCGCGCTCTCTCGGGCCCAAGTGAATAGTCCTCGCGCGAGCGGGACACTGTGGTGGATGCGATTCCCCGCGCCTCCAGCCGGCAGGAGCTCCCGGGCGCCGCAGGCAGCGTCCTCCTCCGAAGCGCCTGCACCGGCACCTGGGCAGCCTGGACCCTCGTGCCTTGTCCCCGGGACCTCGCGCGGGGGGCGCCCCGGGACACCCCCTGCGGGCCGGGTGGAGGAGGAGGAGGAGGAGGAGGAAGAAGACGCGGACCGGGACCCCCGTCCCACCCGGAGCACCTGCCCGCGCTGCCGCCACTTCTCGGTGGGGAGGAGGAGAGAGCCGGGGAGAACCATGGGGGGCCGCGAAGTCCGGGAATTTCTTCTGCAATTTGGGCTCTTCCTGCCTCTGCTGACGGCGTGGCCGGGCGACTGCAGTCACGTCTCCAACAACCAAGGTGAGGGACGGGGCGGGCGGAGGACGGCGCCGGGGGAACCGGGACTGGGTGGGCGGAGGACGGCGCGGGGGAACCGGCACTGGGTGGGCGGAGGACGGCGCGGGGGAACCGGCACTGGGTGGGCGGAGGACGGCGCGGGGGAACCGGCACTGGGTGCCTCCCGCGGGTAACTTCGTCCCGGGGTCGGCGTCTCTCGGCTCGCCACACGGCGGGGTCAGGATGTCCCCTCACCACGGCGCCCTGTCGGGACCGCCCGGGACGGCGACCCCACGGGCTCGGATCCCTTCTGCTTCCAAACGTCTTGAAATGGTTGCGTGAGCGTCAGCTGCACTTGGGTCCCGCCGCTGGCGGCCTTAGGACCGCTCCCCGCTGCGCCGTCTCTACCCGAGGTCAGCTTCATGGCACGGGCTTCATGGACTTCCTGGCTCTTGGTGGCCTCTCATTTCGGGGGACCGTGTGTGGTTCTTGAACGAGGCACGGTGCCGCCGCTGTACCCCGTGACCAGTTACCAGCCCTTCCCCTCCAGTGACTGCCGCCCTCGCCCAGCCTCAGTCCCCAGGCTTCACCTCTCCTTCCTGCCACCAAAGTAGACTTATTTGAAATTCTTCCTAGACCAGATGCCCCAGATCTGTGTGGGGGTTTCATATTCTTGAGGGTGGGGAGTAGAACCGCGTTTAGGGTGAATTTCCAAGCTGTGAATACCCCATTCATGAAGTCGAGTCACTGGCAGATTTCTTGGAGGACTTTGTTTCGGTGGGTAAAGTGGTAAACTGAAGGTGAATAATGTGTAAAAAGTGATGGAAAGCCCTTAGAATATTTGAGCGTTTTCCTTTTTTTCCATACAGTCTTTATGGAACATATCTCATTAGATTTCTGCTGTGAATAAAGATCTGTAAAAAATGCCACCTGCATATTCTAAGTCCTTTCAGACCAAGCGTGAAATAACCATAAAAGTTTTCCAGCATGTACCTAGCTAGATACTCTTGCTGTAATGACCACCAATATGTCACTTCAAATATTGTGTGTGGTGGTCAGTTATCCTTACTTAACATATAAGGCATATGTTCGAGAGTCTCAAAGTAATTTTCAGCTACAAAAATGGAGGTCAGATGGCTTGAAAGTGTGCACTTTTTGTGTGAGAAGGAGAAGGTTAAGGGAGAAGACAACACAGCATTCTTTTTTTGTCATCAACGTTTATGGCCATTTTACTTAGATTTACAATTACTCGGGATCAAAATTAACTTCTCATTTGTACAGTTGGTACCTTGGATATTTTCCTAATTATTACAATTACTTTTACCTGACAGAATGCAATCGCAAACATGCAGGTGAATTTGGAAACCATGTGTAATCCTCATAGCTTTGAAGGTAGATCACATAATAGACACCAGCTACGGTGTCCTGCTGTGCTGTGGTGCTGTACACCATCACACTACATCTCTCATTTGTTTTCAGAGACTATTGGCATAAAATATTGAATAGGTAGTTACTTTATTTCTGTGAAGATAGAAGACTGTTAAAAAACTGTGAAATGACTACCCTTTTTTATTACAAGGAGAGAAAACAGTTTTTAATAATCGGAAAGTCAGACATTGATACTGTACTTTATATCAGTAAATAGGGATAGTAGAGATGAATACTTTGAGAGCCAAGTGTACTAGAAGTTTATAACAGCTATTCCCATGCAATAATTTCCCCCAAACAACAGTTATCTACTTAAATATGATATATCAGTAATTCAGATAACTGAATCTACATATGACTCTAAAGTGCCATTCCACCAAAATATGTCCTGTTATACAGTATGACTTTTCAGATGTTCATAGTAAATTTAAGAACACTGAGATGTTACTTATTAACCTCTTGCAGTAATTTTATCTGCTTACCTATTTTAATGACTTTTCCGTAGTATTTACAGATGTTTTACCTAGAATATATGCCAAGCACATGTAATTTATTTTTATTACTTAGCATAACTTAGTGAATATCAGACAATTTTCCCATCATTTAAATAGATGCATTAAAGACTGTCTACTTAAACTCTTAATTTGAATTTGTATTGATACACTGAAAGCACAGGCTGTGCAAAAGAGTACGATGGGCAGAATAGTACCTAAAGGTTAAATTGGGTAAAATTTACCTGACTTCTTCAAAAGAATACTTTAAAGTATAATCAGATTTTTTATCACACAAATGATGATTTATAAAATGATGCTTTTTATAGTCTAAAGTCATAGTGAATAGAAATTTTTTCTGATAAATTGAGATAACTTACAAATATTGAAATCATCACACTAAAGGTTAATAAAATGCTAGCTTTCTAAATGTTATTCTTAATAACATTTTAGGGATATTTTCTTAACTTATAGTTTCATAATAAAATAAATGAAAGTATCTGTTTTTAAACATGGAAGTTATGGGACATTATAGAATTATTTATATTAACATGTAAAGATTAATGTAAAATATAAATTTGATTTATTATACACATAAAAATAAACAGTAATGTAATTCACATTTAGTTTTGAGAAGATAGCTTTCATTTTCCAACAATTTTCACTTTAAAGGCTAATGGAATTAATGTTTTAATTTTGAAATTTGTTATTTTTTAGAGAATAAAATTACATTTTTATGTAACTTCTTCCTGATTAAGCTATTCACAAAGTAAAATTTTAATGTTATGTATCTGTTTTACCCAATTATATGACATCCTTCATGGCTGAAAAGAATGAATTCACTTTTCCTACAATTCCCAGCCCACTCCTCAGTTTTCCATACATAAGCAAGGTAAAATGATGATGATAATGACAAGAAAGTAACCTATCTCATTATTTTAACATGGTGCTAACAGTAACTTGACTATAGACAAAATCTCTTCTCTTGTCTTTTAACTAAGTGTGAAGCTAACTGTAAAGACAAAATAAATCAATTTGACTCTCTCTTCCTATTAACCAAACCTCCTTGAATCGATCAGAAAGTAAAGGTGCTTCCTAGATCACTTCATCTGATTAAGTAAGTGGAAACATGAACTGTGTTTAAGTCTCTCTCATAGTCCATTAATTTTCCCTATATTTAAAACCACAGTATTAATTAAGTGTTGGTAATTTTTATTTTAAAAAGATTTTATCTTTCAAGGAATATAGCCTTTCATTTCTGTACTAGACACTTAAATGAATATAAAACACCATCTTCATGTGTAAGCTAACCATATACTGTATGTCACAATGGCCACTAGACACCAGGAATCCATTTATCAAAAATTATTCTGCAGCAAATACTACTTTATAGCCTAAATGAGTTGATGTATCTCTAAGGGTGTGGCTCATGCTTTCAAAAATAATCAATTGCATACTCAGATAATTCAATTAAGTCAAAATATGGTATGGGTACATGAGTCTAGTGAACTTATTTTATTGCCAATACTTTGTGAATCCATTTTTCCCCCAGGCAATTCAGTGACAAACAAAATAAACAAGCAAAGCAATAGTGTGACTGGTTGGTTTCATTAAATTTATTAATTGGAGTGAATCAACTGCATAGTCCACTGAGTTATATGTAAATACAAGCAAATACATCTAAGCAGAAAAACATCTGATTAACAAATTCATAGCCTATAATTAGTTGACGTTCCGTAAGTTTTATTCACAAACTCTGATTGACTGTTCTTCTTATATTTATAGAAATGGAGACATTGAGGAAAGTTTTTAAGAATGTTCAAGAGTGAACATTAAAATACTGAAAATATTTAAAATTTTGTTATGTTGGGAACACTGGATTACTTACAAAGAATGTTTCTGAAAGACCATTCATTTAGATGAATTATTTTTTGAGGATAAATTATAGTTGTAAGGGTTCCAGAGATTGTTATCACACCCATTCTTGTTAGGCATAAGTATAAATACAACTTAGAATATAATTTTATTAAACATTTACAATATAAAATAAGTAATTATATAATTAATCTTTATTGATTAGCATCCAAAGTGCAAAGATAAAATGTCTTTATGCTGATCCAGCAATGATCATCTAAGTTTGTTTGTTCTGATCTTGGGATAATACTATATCTAAAACACTTTCCTTGGACAGAAATTATACATAATCCTTAAGGAACTTTTCTTCAAACTGAAAATAACTTAGATGAATATCATTAAAGTTAATGTAGTATTCATGAGTACAGCACTTTTATATGAATTTCCTAAGGGACAATTATATGTCTAATGGTACAGGGTAAATTAATGATTAAATTGCATCCTTTTACTTGTTAGTTACTTTTACATCACAAAATAAGTACTAAAATATATAATAGTAGAACGCCTCTTGTTTCTTTGTTTCTTCCGTAATCATTGGTTAGTACAAATGAGTTAAGTACAAAAGATATCATAAATTTTTCTCTATCAACCCTCTTTCCCTATCACAGTTTCCGTAACTCACTCTCTTTCCCTCTTCCCCCTCACATACACAAATGCTTCTGACTACGTGCTCCATTTGTTCTAAATGCTGAAAGAAAAGATCCCACTTCACACTGTTCATCAACCAAATCCCAACAGTAATAGAAATTTTTTCATCGTACCTTTGACTCACCATTTTGGGATTATAAACATGCTGGAAATCAATATATATAGTTAGGTGATAAAATAGGTTACTTTGTCCAACATACCTTGTCAATCATGTAACCAAGCTAAATTCATAGAGGATCAAATTGCCTATCTCTAGTGTTCTATTCAACTTGTAATTTAATCAGACTGACATTTTAAAAGATTGAAGATATATTCTGTTCTTGCATTATTTTATTATTCTTTTCTGTAATCTAAAATTTAGATTATAGATTTAAAAAGAGAAAATACCGGTAGAGATACGCTATTTGAAATGGGACAGTTGGAAAGACTTGTCTGTGAAGGTGACATTGAAGCCTCATTCTCAGGAAAGAAAAAGAGCTCATTCTGCAGAGTGGGAAGAAGTGCATAACATGTAGTGGAAACTGCCTGAGCAATAGTCTTGAA